TTAAAAATAAAAATTAACTCAATGACTTCAGTTATGTATTGAATTGCACTGAAGGTTCAGTACAAATACATAGCCCATCCCTTGGTCCCACATCACCTTTGTCAACACTAGCAGGGGTAATTATACAATAAGCAATTAGTAGAGCTCCGCATAGTACACAATAGGAAAATTATTATACTTAGTTTATATTTAATGCATTCAAAAATTTCTTTTGGGCCTGTTTTTAAAATTTCTTTTTTACTCTTCTTGTAATAAATGTATTTCTGTTATCGATTCTTGTATAATATCTGCAATGTTTACCCTCCTGGACAGCAACACGTTTCTTATTTTGAGTAGTTCTCCATAATCTTAACATTTTTAAAAATAATTTCTTTTTGTGACTAACATGCGTTGACTGGCCGCTTCGTTCACTCTAAATAGAACAGCACACGGCAAGTTTTGGCATACATGGACGGCGATTCTTATCGCGACAAGTTCACCTTCTGCCTTAGTTTGAATTGTCGATGTCTGGTGTAGCCACTGATAATAATACTCTATAATACATGCCAACAATACATTAAACACTGACTTAATTTCCTAAAGTAGCTGCTAATATAAAATTTTAAGCAGTACTAACTTTCACTTGATACTTTTCCAAGAGCCTCTGCACACTTTCTTCTCCAAATCAATGTGGTCTTTACATGACTTCCTCTACCTCTACAAGTCTTTCTTCCCAGCCAACTACACGTTATGTTGGCTCCTGAATTCGAAGGCATTGACAGCATCTGCAATATATTGTGGAGATTTTGCTAAACAAACAGAAATTTGCACGACACAAATTTTGTATGGGTTACTATAAGAAAAGGCAGGCTTATATTCAGATACGAAATATGAAGATATGAAATGACAGCATTTGAGCCTTTGGAGTGTGATTGGCCTTTGTCTATTAAATAATTCACATCAATATTTGGATATAGGCCTAGAGAGCCTGGCCCTGTTTAAACTAAAATTTATTTAAAATGGTTGTCTCTTAAAATTAATATGTGAAGGCACAAAGGAACCCACACTGCTGTGTACTGTTTATTTGAATTGAAGCATTCTTTGGTAATAGGCTTGGCTTTCTACACACAATTAAAAGCAAATTTCAAAGTAAACTTTAATATTAACTTTTTGCTAGCTAGTGAGAGGCCCTCTTGCTTTTTAAATTTCCTGCTAGGAACTAACTACAATAAATATACCAGTTAGGCCAAATAGAGTAATGTACTTACTGCAAGCCAACACCGAGCATGGAGCCAACTAAACATGTTATGTTGACAGCATCTGCAATATCTTGGAGAGATTTTACAAAATTACGCCTACTGTATACTTTCTTTTTGCTAAACAAACAGAAATTTGCAACTGGCACAAATTTTGTATGGCTTACTATAAGAAAAGGCAGGCTTATATTCGCCCGATGACCATAAATGCATCTCCATGCTAGATACCACAATAGATATCTGTTCTTATTCTGTCCACTGCAATTGTCACAATAATGAGAAACAATCTCTTGTATGCCTTGAGATGTAAACAAAGTCATACAGATATGAAATGACAGCATTCGAGCCTTTGGAGTGTGATTGGCCCTCGTCTATTAAATTATTCACTTGCTGTCCCACAGCCTCGCATGCAACACCAAAAAATGTCATACTTCTGAGTTTAACAGAAAGAAGATTGGACCTGGCTGTAATTGATCGCTATGATACTAAACCTTCAAAATCAAAGGAGTAATGAATCCTCCCCTTTTTTGTATTCCTTGTGTCACTAAACTGTGATTCATCAACTAGGTCGTCTGCGTTATCTTCATCTTAAACATCTAGGCCTGTCCTTCTACCGAAATAATCGTTTATGAACTCATTCATAGTGGCCCCATCCATGGGCGTTGTTAAGAATACGACCATATCTAAATTTAGCCAGCGTTTAATCTCTCCATATCTGCATCTTGACATATTCCACAATAAGTGAAATTTAGCAAATTCGTAATGAACGAAGTAATCAAAAAATTTAAAAAAAAATGCAAACACAAGGTCATGATAAAAAGGTGCTACTGTAGATAGAAATACATGCTGTGTGTTCAATGAAAAGACTTGGCTGTCAAATTTGGGCATGCACACAGACTGATATTCTAGGTCACTAATACCAAATTAGTGACCTAGAATATCACTAATTTGGTATTGACCAATCAAAGGTCGTACATAGCAAAAATAGGTTGACACAAACTCCTTTCTATATTC